ATCTGCTCACCTCAGCCTCCCAAAGTGCTGGGATTACAGACATGAGCCACCATGCCCAGCCAAGCTTTTCAGGTAAACTATTTTTTTCAGTTCTCACTACTCATCCTGGAGGGGGACCTTCATTACTCTCCTCATTTTAGGAGTAAAGAATTCTGGCTCAGAGAGATTAAGTTTCCCAAGGACCCACAGCTGGGAAATCTGAACCCAAGTCTACGTTATGGCTTGTGTACTCCTAGTACTTCAAAAGATTCCTCCCAGACCCCAGCCCTCCAACATGCATTCAGAAAGCTCTGATATTGGTCATTTGAGAGCCAACTACCATTTATCAAACCTTCCCTTGTTATTGTGTATGTTGCAAAAGCCAGAATTCACATCTGATCTTCTGAGTTAAGTCTAGTATACTTGCCACTACATCTCATTTCCTTTCTTATAAAAATGTGTGTCTTTATTATATCCTGAATATGTGCATGCACTATGTTAGAAGCCGTACTTTCATTCATGCTGAATTGATTTAAGTTTTATCTGTCTGCTATGCTAGAATGTAAACTCCTTGAGGTCAGGAAAAAATCTGTGCCTGTCATAATCACCATGGAATCTGCAATGCCCACTGTGGGGCTTACACAAAGGGATCACCCAAGAAATCAACCAAATGAAAGTAATTCCTGTAGCAGTTCTCCAAAGTGTAGTAGTTGATGTCATCCCCATTTTACATAAGGGAACTTGCGTCTAGGAGAGGAACTGTGACCCACATTTCACAAAGGACCACTTACATTATGTAAAAGACATATGAGCTGTCAAAGCACATTCTTTAGCATCATCCTGTTTAGTTTTCACTAGCCACTTCAGGAAGTTATATCTGATTTAATGTCAAAGCAGAATCTGAGAAGGAAAAATAAAGCAGTTCCTTTTGTTTCAAGATATTTGAAAAAAAGAAACAATAGGGACTGTGACTTGAGGACATATGATAAAGTAGTATCTCAGGTTTCTACTCTCATCTTGAGTCTATGGGTCTCTTCACTTAGTCAGACAGGCCCATCTGCAGAGAATCCAAGCACTCCCAGGCTGGGTTACCATCAGTTGGCACCCCGTAAACATCAAGGTTGCTTGGTTCAGGCCCCTTTCATTAAAATGTGTGAGAGCTCACAACCCAGCTTGTAAAGTGCTGGTGGAGGGGTGCCTAGTCACCAGGTCACTTTAACTTCATGCCAGGAAATCACATCTAGTGTAAACTGGCAAGGAAGTTGGGTGTTTGGATGGACAGAGCCATAGTCTCCAGATGGGAAGGGTGAGACTAAGTGCCTGGGAAACTCTGTGTAGAAGATCTCATTTCATTTTATATATCCAGGGTCTGACTTGGATGTAACAAAGGATAAGCAGGGCCGGAAGTGGCAGGAGGTCAGGGTCTGCTGGAAAAGCTGAGAGTTTGCCTCAAACGTCAGCCTTCCTTGCCTATTCTGAGGCTTAGTTTCCTTGTCTGTAAAATGCCTGCCTTGAAGTACTATTTCAATGATTGTCAAACAATGAAAAGGCACTAGATGATCACGTGACCTCATAGAATGTCCTCATACTATCTGGGCCTCAGTATCCACCCCTCTAAGAAGGATAATAACCAGGCGTTCTCACAGCATTGTTGTGATAGTTTAATGAGAAATTGTCCATGAAGAGTGCTTTGCAAACTATAAAACTTGATGTGAGCATTAGTTAAATGAAACAAGGCTTTCCCACATATTACCTCATTTGATCTGACACCAACCCTGTGAAATTGATGTAGTGGGAATTATTAACCCCTTTTTACAGAAATGGAAAGCAAGGCTCAATGAATTGCATAACATGCAACTTGCAGATCACCCAGCCAGCAGGTGGCAAAGCCATAGGTAGATCAGACCTGTCTGATCTTGAGTTCCATGTTCTTTAATCCATTGTACATAGCAAAAATGTGCAGACATGAGTAATAGCTGTAGGATACTTGGATAATCTTTTGAATGCCAATATTAGTTTGTGCCTTATCTGGACTACAATCTCCCGGAGGGCAGACATTATATCTTACCTCTGTATTTCTAGCACCAGGAATAGTCTCTAGCGTACAGTAGGCATGTGTGGATATTATTAGTAGACTACATGAATTACCATGAATTTATTGATACCTACCATATATAAGGCAGGAAGAAGCCTCTGAAGTGGTTGCCATCATCATCCCCACCTTACAGAGGAAGGAAAGGAAGCTTATGCCTATTGAGTAGGTCACAGAGCTGGCAGAACTGAGATTTGGAATCACATCTGATTCCAAGTCTACTGTCTTTCATCCATACTGTCTCCAGGTGACTTAATAAAGGGAATGAAGTACCTTTTAGCTAAGACCTGAAGTCTGGGAGTTCATTGTGGGGAAAAGCCTGCCTCTTCTCTTGGTTCATGATGGGTTCCATGTGCTCTGCTGCCTGAAAACTCTGTGGCTTTGGCCCCAGCAGCCCACCCCTCTCCTGGCTCACACCTCAGTGAATAGTGTGCTGTCTACTGTTTACTTTCACACCATAAACCACCACCTGGAAAAAGTGCTGAGTAAACCCAAACAAATACTAAGCTGATTTGTCATCTCTCCAAGGGCTCTCAAGGGCAAGTTCCAGCCCTGACCCCAGCCCTAGCCTCCAGAGTCACCAGGAGGTCATTGCCCTTTCAGTGTTGTGCAGAAGAAATGGGAATTACAGAGACTGGACCCAGGATGTCCTGGGGCCTGGAGATTGTCATTCATTATCTTGAGGCAAGCCCAGGTTGTTGTCTATGTGAGCAAGAAGGGAAAGGAGCTTGAACAGCATCCTAGAGGATGCTGATGTAGCTTGATGTAGCTCCACAGCCCTGTCCTCATGTGGGACAGTCTCATACAGGCAGGTCGCTAGAGACAGGTGGGCCTGGTTGGACTTTCAGCCAGGCTAAGGGGGGTCTGGTGAATGTTTACCATTCTCAGACACATATATTCCCAGGCATGCCCTGCTTCATCTGTCGTCCAACAGACCTTAATAGGAGGTTTATTCTATACCAGGATCTGTGGTGGGTACCAGGGATAGAGGTGATCAGAGGAATTAGACCAGCCTCAGGTTGTTCCTAGACTACTGGTAAGACAGACTCAGAAACAGAAAAACACTCTACCATGTAAAAATGGAAGAGAAAGAAACAAGTGAATAACCCGCAGGGTGAATTACAGGAGATTTCTCAGAGGAGGGGTTACTTTTCAGCCAGTTCTTGGGGGTAGATTACACTATCTAAGAGGGAGAGTGCTCTGTCATAGAATCCCACATTCTTATAGCCTGAAGGAACCTTAAATGACGTCAGGTTCCACCTGCAATAGATGAGGAAACTGATACCCAGAAGAAAGGAAGTGACCTCCCCAAAGCCACACAGCAGATGAGCAGCTGAGCAGGCCTACATGTCACAAACCTCCTAGACTCCCTGTCTAAAGCTCACAGTGCTGGCCTCAATTCAGGAAACCTTTCTTGAGTTACTTGATCTTTGTCATGCTTTTTTGTCATCTACTTCACTGGGTGCTCGCCAGAGCCCAGTTAGGTCAGCAAAGGGCTGCTGCAATGCGGCATCACACAGCTCACAGTATCCAGACCAGGAACTGTTGCTTAGAAGGTCACACAGCTTAGAAGCTCCTGAGTCTGGCATAGAACCCAGGTCCCTGGCTCCAGGTCAGACATCCCTTCCCACTTTACAGCTGAAGAATCTGATGTGTAACTGTACAATTAGCACCTCCCTTTTGAGGTAATGTGCTTGGCAGGATGTCTTGCACAGGAACACAAAATACATTGTAACTCTTAGTATTTTTAAATTCTCAAACATTTTATTTATTGTCTTGTAGACTGGTAGGAAGGTCTGAGCCTCTGAGACCTAATTCTTTTTCAAAGTGGCTAAGGTATTAGCAGCTTGTAAACCAAGCATCTAGCTTGGAAGGGAGATGAGCAAATGCGCCTTGACAGAGGCGCCAGCTAATATAGTTTGAAAGAAATGAAAAGGGTTGAGATTTTCATGTGAATTTGAAGTATGTTGGGCCACGAGGCATGAGAATCAAGTCAGAGTCTCTCTCCACCAGAGCCCTGGCAGAGAGCTTCAGTGGACATGGTTGCTCCACCTGTTTCCTAAAGAGCAGTTGCATTTTGGAAGACTTTACCACCTCCGCCTGTAGTAAGCATGAAGCTGTAGCTGGCCTGGAGCCTCAGGGGCTTGTGAATCGGGCCGTGTGTGTTTTGCTCCATCTCACAGATGGGCCTTTGTGAAGGGCGAGCAGCTCCACTCTGGCCCCTACTCCAAACCGTTTGCTTTGGATCTGAAACCCCATTTAGATGGTTCTTGGAGTTGGGGTGAGGAAGCAGGAAGCTGAAAGACTGAAAATAAATCCAGCAAAAGCATAGAATAAACTGCAGGTTTTGGACACCAACCCAGAGTATGCCCATCGTGGGTGGGGTTCAGCCTCCCTCCTACGCCTCAACTTCAATCAGAGTCCAGGCAGTCATGAAATGCAGGCCCCAGAACTCATCACATGCCCAACCAGACCACAAGCACTTCATTTGGCTATGGGGACTCATCCTGACTTTGTTTTCACACATAACTGGTTTTTAATTAAATTTGACGTTTCCTGACGTCTGTTCAGAAGGCTGGTCCCCTTTGGAAGGGGCAAGCACAAAGGCAGGGACAGGCTGGCAAGAGAGAGAAGAAAATTGAGCCGAGCTCTTCAATCCTCCTCTTTTGGTGGGGAAACGGGCACAGGGCAGGCTTCTGCTCAGAGAATTGTTCTCATTCAAGGGTCATTGTCCACAGCGATTAGTCTCCCGAGTCTCTGGAATCCCAATCTGTCACAGAAACCCAGGTATGTAACCAAGTGTGACTCTGGTTTCCAACAATAACTTGCTCAATACTTGTTTGTCTGTCTCTCCTCCTTTCCCTGCCCCTCTGGCCGCTGCCTCCCCTCCTGGCCCTGGTGTCCTCCCTCCTTTTTCTCCTCCCTACAGAGATCTGTGCTGCTGACTGTGGCGGCCATGGCGTGTGCATAGGAGGCACCTGTCGCTGCGAGGATGGCTGGATGGGGGCAGCCTGTGACCAGCGGGCCTGCCACCCACGCTGTGCCGAGCATGGGACCTGCCGTGACGGCAAATGCGAGTGCAGCCCTGGCTGGAATGGTGAACACTGCACCATCGGTATGGCGGGCCGAGGTTCCCGGGGATCTTCTCTGGTCTGCAGGACACCTTTGTCTGTCGGGGCATTTCAGGGCCAGCCTGAGCCCTCATTGCATGTGGGGATGGGAAAGAAAGTCCTTTCATCTGGAGGCATTACGACTGGCATTTCCTAGCCATCAGTTGGGTTTAAACTCACAATTTGATAGTTTCAACCTTATTCCTTCCAATTTCCATTTCCCTGGTCCTGGTTAGCTGGTTAGCACACCTTGTTGTTCAGCTCCTCCTAGGCTAAATGCAGTATAACTCTGTGTCAAGAAGGTTTGTGTTCAGGAATGAGGCAGATGACCACCTCTTAGCAGCTGTGGACAAGCCCCGTCAACACGCTGAGCCTCAGTTTCCTCACTCGCAAAATGTGGATAATAATATATGTAAAGAGCTTAGCAAAAGCTGGCATAGGAGTGCCCAGTACATGCAGCCATTATTATCCAATGCATTATCTGGCTAGGATGGCTGGGGCTTGGCTCTGAGCCCTCCATGCCCACTGGGCTCCTAGGTCAGAATTCCCCAAGAGGTCTGGAATCCTGGGGAGAGCTCCCCACAGGCCCTAAGGCCACATGTGGAGTCCATTAGGGCTGGGATCTTCCCCATCCTCAGCTTCCATCCTGTCTGCATTTGTCTCCTTTCCCCTCCCTTGGGGGCTTCTCCGCACCAGCTCCTGCTGAAGCAGCTTTGTTGGCAGCTTTGAAAACAAGCTGATCACTTCATTCCCTTCTTTCTGCCTTTCCTGCTGGTTTTGTTGATTTTAAATTCAGCCAGACGTTTTGCTTGGTTTATTATCCTGGAATGAACACTCACCAAAAGCTCTTTATTGAATCAACTGGTTTGTGTATGTGTGTTTTAACTTCTTCCCCTTCCGTTTTTTTTCTGGTTTTTTTTTTTTTTTTTTTTTTTAGTTTTTATTTTAAGTTCCAGGATACATGTGCAGGAGGTGCAGGTTTGTTACATAGGTAAACGTGACCTCCAGTGGTTTTTTAAATGAAGGGTCTGTGATCAGACGGTGAGCACATGGCTTTAGAAGGCAGGATTCCAGGTGCCTTTCTGGCTCTGAAAGTGACCTCTTGGGTCTTAGAGAAACTGGAAGACAAGCCCCACAGCTTTTGAGAGACAAAGGAATTTTGAGCAAACAGAGCTACCTCTTATCCCTTGTGGGTTTTTTTAGTCTTCCTTGTTTTTGTTTTGTAGCCTAAAGTTAATGTATATCCTTGGTCCCTGCCCCTGCAACATCCCGAGTTTATAATTGGCCATGGAATGCCTTACATTTATTAATATTAGTAATAATAATAATGGCTTCGGATTTTTAAGTATTTACAACTTGCCTGGAGCTGTGCTAAGGACTTTAACTGCATTATTTTATACTCCTTACAACCACCCTGTGAAGCAGTATGTATTATTTCCTCATTTTCAAGGAACTGAGGCGTAAGGTCACGGAACTTAAAGAGGTAGAACAGGGATTTGACACTTGATTTTTTCTTGCCAGCTGCTTGCTCTGCAGCCCTTGCATGGCAAAGCCCAGGTTTTCTACTGAGACACCTGTTCCTGTCCCTCCTGGAGGCTGTGCCCTGTCATGGAGGTTGCACTCAGCCCCCACCCTCAAGAGAGCCACTACGTAGCAATGGCAGCCACTGTATCAGCCTCTACAGGTTGTGCTGCGTCATCTTACTGTGTGATCCTTGATGGCTTCTTTATATCGGTGTCATCCTTCCTTAAAATTGTCCTGGAAACCCCTTAGTGAGAAATGGCCCTGGTCATCCAAGGAGCCTCTTTAAACTCTGCTTTCCCCTCTCGGTCCCTTTTCTACATGACTGAGGATGAACCAAACTTTTAGCTTCCCAGCCCAGAAGAAAGCCCATGCGCAGTAGAAAGCCCATACCTGTTTTTAAAAAAAAAAAGTAGAGCCCAGAGAGGGCCCATTCTGTTTGCTGTCACTTGCTTACAGAGTTCCCAGCTCATCTTACCAAACTCCAAAACATTTGCAAATGTTGGACAAAAATGTTGTAAGATAAATGCATCTCATCCTAGAGAAACTCTCCCTAGTCACAGATGATTCACGTCAGGGCTTGTGGGCAGGCTGTTTTATTTGTAGTGTTTTCTGGATATTCGTCAGCCTGGCTTTAAGAATGTCCCTTTTATTTGGATGCCAAGAAGTCAAATCATCCTCTTCTACCTCCCGTGTATACTCTGTTGTCACTCTTCAAGAACAGATACCACCTTGGGTTTGCAGATGCCTTTTCCTCTCCAGATAAGAAATACATCAAGGCAAATATGCAAAATATAAGAAGAAGGTTGACAGTCCTAAATACCAAAGAAATGTCATAGGACATTGAAGAAGCAACGGACTAGTCATAGTGCTCAGTTGAAAGGACTTTGGCTGGGAATTCTATTACTACCTCTCATTGTGTGGTGAGCATTTTCTTTGTCCTTGTCTAATTTTCCTGCATGGTAACCTTCTCTGTGGGTCTTTGCCTGTGGCCAGTTGCGTCCCCACGAGAAACTCAATACCCTTGTGCTGAAGGAACACTTCAATAACCCTGTGGGATATAAGGAAAGGGGGAGGGGAGGCAAGGTAGAGAAACAATGGTGCCATCCTTTTCTTGTTGAAATAGAAATGAGAAGGAAAAATTCATTTTTAGTCTTTGATGGTAACAAGAAGCATTTCCCTGTTTCCAGAGAACTCTACTCCCTGTGAGGGTGATTTAGGAAAAGAAAAAACTGCTGATGTGAAAAGTTAAAAATTCAAAGTGTTAAATTTTCTCTTGTTATCAGATTTCATTGTTATACGAAAGGTCATTATCGTGCAGCTAGCTTCTAGCTGCAATAGTCATTTCCCACAGCAGAGAAAGAGCTGGTATCCATGACACTGATTTAGAGACCTCTAGGCAGTGGAAGCAAAAAAAGAGGTGGGCCTGTTTATTTACATACTGCCGCCCTGCATAAACAGGAAGGAGTGGCTTGATTACCATATACCAGGAATACAGAATTTAAAGAACAAGACAAATCTGGGCCTCTAATGGCCAAGTCCCCAGCATTAAGAACCTTTTTACCCCAATGACATTTCCCAGAGCAAATGATTATAGTAGGAATTAAATATCTTCTTCTTTTTTTTTTTTTTTTTTAAAAAATATCATCTTTTAGAGCCTTTGGCTCACCTTATCTTTCATGGAAGCTACTTGATTCTTCTCAAGAGAGGTTGGTTTTCAGAATAAAAGGGAATTTGACAGTGGCATCCTCTTCAATGGCAGTATTTTTGTCTAACAGCAAAAATATTTCACTTTCAATCCTAATTCTTTATGACGTTAGGAATCACCTGTCTCTTTGCATCTTGAAGAAGGGTCTTTGGTAAAAGCACCAGCCCAGACCACGTAGTTGCCTGAGGCTTCAGCTTCTCTATCCGTGAATCACAGAATGGGGTGGCTAGAAGAGATCCCCAAGGGTGATAGAATCCCAGCCCCTTCCTCCACTGCCCACAGAATTGCACACCCATCAACCCAAAACTGAGTCACCTGCTCCTAAAAATACCTCACGAAGAAAAAGGGATTCTTCATTTTTACTCTAACTTATATGACACTAATACTCCCACTTACATATGTGAAACCCAGTTTTCCTAGTCCAGAAGTTAAGGTAAGATGGATTGATTTGGATCTGTTTCTCAAGCATGTGATTGACAGAGAGTCACCCAACGCATATTTTTGGTTGTCTTTTCAAAGAGTTTTATGGATCCCGTAAGTCTGGGACTTGACCTCTGATTTCCTGTGAGAAAGCTGAAAATCATGGTTAAATTTAACAAGGCGTTAACTTTTTTTCTGATTTCTTTGAAAACACTGCTAACATTTTGGATCAGTTCTACATGGTTTTTCTATTCACCACAGTGCCCCTTGTCTCTAAAGTTTGAAAACACCTGTAGAAAATGCCAACTTCTGATTACATTAATAAAATTCCAGCCTTGACTCCAAAGCTGTGATTGTTCAAGGTACCAAATATACAGAATTATTTACCAGGCTTCAGGAGAGCTGTCCAAATCTAGAAATCATGACTTTTAAACAAAAGCTTCCTCTGAGGGTAAAGATCGAAATAATACCCTGAAGATACAATGACTTGAGTGAGCAAAACCAGACTTTCCAATGAAGAGAAATTATAAATAACAGCCACAAAATCTTCCGGAGTGCTTTGTCCACTTTTGGTTGTTTTTTTTTTTTTTGTTTGTTTGTTTTACTTTGTTTTGTTTTAAGACAGAGTCTTGCTCTGTTGCCCAAGCTACAGTATGGTGGCATGATCTCAGCTCACTGCAACCTCCACCTCCGGGGTTCAAGCAATTCTCCTGCCTCAGCTTCCCGAGTAGCTGAGACTACAGGTGTGCACCACCACACCCAGCTAATTTTGATATTTTTAGTAGAGACAGGGTTTTGCCATGTTGGCCAGGCTGGTCTTGAACTCTGGACCTCAAGTGATCCACCAGCTTCGGCCTCCCAAAGTGCTGAGATTACAGGCATGTGCCACCGTGCCTGGCCCTTTGTCTGCATTTGAATGATAGCTCTCAGATTTCTTTTTCATAATCAGCAAATCATTAACCAAGAGCCCACAAATCACTCATGAGGTATCAGCACCTATGATAACACTATGGTTATTCCACTGGAAAGCATTCATTCACAACAGGCCCTGCGGCTTGCCAGGACAGATTCTGACAAGGAGAAAGAGAAAATTTATAGGGATCTACCTCAAGTGATCAGAGCACAAGTTTGATTTGCTGATGATTCTGAGAGACTTCACCCCACATGTAGTAAAGGTGGGAACCTAACTTTGTGAATTTCTGTCAGTGTGGGTGTCACTGACCAGTTATCGAAAGAGAGAAGAGCACTAATGAATCCAAGAGCTTAGCAAGAATGTCTCTTTGGTGGTGTGTCATCCATCTGAAAGAAGCTCGGATGACTAGAACCACCAACCCATCCCTAGCTGTAGTGATTCTTGTTTCCTGTGGCCTAACCTGTACCAGGGATGCAGCCCTTAGAGTTGCCCTGAGTCTCCTGGCGAATAAGAATGGAAAGCCTCTTGCCATGTTCTCCATAACTTTGGATAGGGAGCCCCTGAAGATTCTTAAGATTATCCCAAGAGAAACCTTTGGAAACCTCTGTTGCTAGAGGCAAGTCAAGGAAAGAAGTTCTTATGTTGGTGAACAGAGAAATGCCAAAGACACGTGAGACTGCACAGACCAACATCATGCCAAAAGCTCAGTCTGTAGCATAAATAGCTATAGTGTCACTACTGTCTCCGACTTTTCACGTAGAGATAAGAACATAGTAGAAACATGAGAAACGTTTGTCCAAGGCCAAAGAAACAAGTGTGGCCCAAGAGGAAAGACGACTACTGCCATCATCTTCATCCTGAAGTTCTGAAGAGAAAGGTGCAGGAATTGATGAAGTCCTGAATCCACCTTCCGTAATGCAGACTCTGCATCATCTTTTCTAAAAGTTGGTACTTTAAAATCATGAATTTTTCAACAATTGTACTCGAGCATGTGTGCCAAGGTTTTCAAACAATAAAAGCAACTTACAGTATGGACTTCTGCATGTGCCTTTTATAAATACATGGCACTAAAGTTCAAAGACTCAGTTATCACTCCCATTTTCAATAGCCAAAGACAAGTCAGGTCCGTTCCATTCCCGGAAAACTCATGGACTTGGTATTAACTAGCTGTTAGCAGCTTTTGGATTCACAGTGTGGTTTGGGGGCTCTTTGTAGCAAAGGAATCCCTTTTGATTTGTGGAGTCAGGATTTGAAGTTTCGAGTGTCCACTGTTGTCTCCTGAAAACTTGCAATGCTGATGATAACCATTTCCAGTGACTTCTTTTCCTACCTATGGTCTGAATAAATTAGTAAGAGTTTGTAAAGGTATCCAAAACATTTTTTTCACTGAATAGAGCTCTTCATGATTAATGGGTCTTGAAACTGAAATGGCTTTAGAAGAGAGGGAGCTCTCTTAAGTCAGCCACTGGTCCTGGGGAGATGACCCTTTAGAATGGATGTAATCTTTACTCACCACCAGAACCATGATACCACCATTAAGTTTGGAAACAAAGTTTTTTTGTCAGAGAAATCCCTCAAAGTGGATGCTGCACAGTGATATGACCACTTGGATCCCAGTGATGGAGTCTCATCCAGCCAAGCCATCCCTGAGAAAGAAATCTAGGGTCACTCCACCTCTTCTGTAACTGGATTCATAGTTATCACAAGAACTTATTATTAGGACCCTCCAAAAAAGTCTGCAGATATGAAAGCTAAGAAGACCACTAGAGCTGGGTAATTCTGTGTATTCATACTCTTCGATAGCATATCCTGGGAGATGAGATAATAAGAAATTTTAGGCCACTTTGCAAAATTAGATGAATTAGCTGGACTAAGACTAAAGTGACAGATGGACCAAGAATCCAGAAAGCTTTCTCTTTAGCCAGAAATATTTCCTAGGCCATTTTTCGTGTGAGCTGTCCCCATTTTTCATTGCTTGGCATTCCATAGTTTTGTTTACTCACGCCTGCTTAGTAAGTACTCTCATGTTCCCATATTATATTCTACATCTCATGGACTCCACAACATCTGTAAGAATTAAGAAAAGCATGTGGCCTCAGCTAAAATTTTCTCTTCCCAATTTTCCGCTTGGCTGTGCAGCCTCCGGAAGTGTATTTCAACTTGAACCAGAGACCACATGGATACCTGAACTGAGAACACAGCCTCTCATCCACTAGTCTTTGAGACTATATATATTGATGAACAACAATGTCTGTTCTATCCAGAGAATTGAAAAAATATAATTTATATTTTTTTTCTGAAGAGAGTAAGAATGTTTAAAGAGCCCTAGGGATTCCTGATAAGGCCACACCGTTGCAGTCCAGTCCTGTCTGATGGACTTTTGATTCATGTGTGAAATTGAGCTGAAGCTGGAGTGCAGCCTGGCTGAAGGCATCATATTCTTCAGGAGACTACCCAGCTACATAGCCTTTGCAGATCACACTAGGGGGAGGTGTAGAGAGATAGGGAAAGAGAAGCTCCTCGAAGGGCTGTAGCTACAGCCTAGGTAGGGCAGGTGAGATAGTATTAGTGATTTATGCTGGGTATTAAGACGCCTGCCCTGTTCTAAACACACAGCCAGACACCCATATATGTGCACAGTGGGGTTTACTTCAGAGCAACCTTTGATACCCATCCTCAAATAAGCAAAACTTTAGAAGGCCAGATAATTCAAGGCTTAGACACAACCCCTCCACTGGAAGACAAAGCACACATCATTCTGTCTTCAGAGTTAATAAGCATTGAAAAGTTGTCGGGTTTTCTTTTCTTTGTCCTGTTTTTTACAGTGACATCCATTGACCTGCACCTCATAGTCTGTGTAAGATGCACAAAGGAGGGATCCATCTAACTTATAACACTAAGCATTCGGCATTCAAGCATATGTGGGCACATGTGTTCATGGAAAATTCAAGAATGGCAAAAAGACAATCTAGCAATATATTTGACCAAAGACTCAACCCCTTCGCTAGTGCATATCAGAGATGATTCAAATTTTGCATATTTCTAAATTCCAACTTCTTGGAAATACCTCTTGGAAATGCCCAGATGGGGCACCACTTGTTCTTGGTATGGCTGCTTCACCTGTAGGGAGGTTGGATGCTGCTCTGAGTAGTCAAAGGGACAGGCTCTGGTTTTCTGTAAAGCCAGACAAAGCTGGCAGAGCAGGAGTGTGGCCACTTTTGCAGCTTCCCATCCTCCTTTGTCCGTTTTCCTTATTCATATGTCTTCTTGTTTCTGTGATCACATTTCCAAATGCCTGGATCACAGAATGAGTTGAAGTTCCTTTTGGCCATTCCTGGAGAATGCTTGCTCTCCCTCCTCCTCTCTTGTGTCGTCCTGTCTTTGGTTTTATTTTCCCCACCATGGCATAGGCCAGTCCCAAACGTGGGGCACAATCCCTTTGTCTCTTCAGCATCTGGCATGGTTATGTGGCAGACGGTATTGCACTTACTCGATCCTACCTTAAATGTCCTGTCTTTTATCTCCCTAGCTCACTATCTGGATAGGGTAGTTAAAGGTATGGTCTTCCTTCCTCTATTTTCCTGTTGTCTTTGTGTGTGTGTGATTGTGTATGAGCATAAAAGAAGAAATGTGTATATAAAAATGTATATACACCCCATAAGCATGATGTCTAGATGCTACCACATCCCCAGTTTTGTCACAGCATCCATTGCCCAAAGGGCATGGGTTTTCAGTCAAGAGGTGGTTGATATACCTGGAGTGTCATTCTCCCCGCAAGATGCTCAGATCTGTTTCTGACAACACCATTGTACTTCTGTTTTTCCCTCCCCCCACCCCACGTACATATACCTTTCACTCTTTCCACCCCATCTCATGTCACCCTGCCCATCTGTTATGGCTCCTGGTCCACCAGAATTAAGATGCTGGCAACCAGGGTGGGTGGCCTGAGAGAGGAAGAGACCCAAGAGCAAAAAATTTTAAGGACTACTTTTTAGTTCTACTGTGTTTATTCATCCAACAGGCATCTATGGAGCACCCACTGTGTACTAGGTACCTGTGCCAGGGTCTGGAGACAAGGGGACAAACAGACTCCTGAACTCAGTTTGCAGATGGTCTGTTTGTTTTGTTTGTTTGTTTCTTTTCCTTTTCAGAGAAGGCCTGACTTTGGTAAGTTTTATCTTTGAAGAGTATTCCCTAAAGGCAAAGTAATTCCTTCCTTTTTAAACATTTACATTAATTAGGTGGTACCTAATTTTCCAAATAGGCCACATGGCTCTAAGAATAAGTCTCAGAATAATCAGATATGTGTGCTCTTAAAAGACTCTAAGCTCCTTGAGGAGAAATACCATGACCTATTCATCTTTTTGTTCTCAGGCCCTAACACAGCACCTGGTACAAAATATGTGCTCAGCAGATAGGAACATACTCTGGAGTCAGACTGCTTCGGTTTGAATCCCAGCTTCCACACACAAAGGATTTAACTTCTCTTCTCTTGCTAACAGGACCTACCTCATAGGGCTAGCATGAGGATTAAGTGAAGTAACGAATACAAAGTGCTTAGTCTATGGGCAGGAATGATGCTCAATAAGTATGAATTACGCTGTTTTGTCATCATATTCTTATTCTCACCCTTAATTTGAAGAAGGACTTCATTAGCTAGATTAATTTTTGAAACTGTAAAGGAAAAGGCTAAATTGGCTTTTAATAAGAGATAGCAACAGCTGTTTTAAAACTTATGGAAAGGATTTTGGGGAAACATAACTGACTAAATGCTTTTCAGCTGGGACAGCTCTGCCAAGTACAGCAAAGGTATTGCATAGGACTCAGCAGATGGAAGAGGAGCCAGGGTCTTCATATTTCATGTGCTGGTCCTCAACTGAGAATAAAATCATTCCAGCAAGAAAGTGTAGTACCTCCAAGCCTCTTTAAAACAGGCATTTCAAACATTATCATTAGCAGAGGACTCTTCAGGGTGGGCTAACTTTTATCATGTTACCATCTATTTGATGGAAAATTTTCCTACTATGTGAAGTTTTTCACATCCATGAGTCTTAAGTGAGTTGTGTGATTTTTTTTTTTTTAGGGGAACAGATACAATACCCATTTGATTGAAAGAGTAAACTGAAGTTGAGGAACTTGAGTGGGTCATCCTGGGTCACAATTCTAATAAGTAGTGGAGCCAGGGCTCTACATTCCCTGGCTTTATCCATATTTCTAACATTCTGTCTTCTGTCACCATAAGTCACTAAGAATGTCCATAATTTCCAATACATTTTCCTCCACACCACATCTTCCAAACTGGCACCCTCACTGAGAAGTGGCCCATATTCTTTCCCAAATCACCTGTTCTGATCTTTAGTTCAGAAAATATCATCACCAGAACTTTAGGTGGATTAGGTCAATGATTTATAACTTGCTTTAAAAGGCAAATGTTTCTTTTCAAAATCTGGGTCTGACCCAAGCCCTCATCTGATTGATATTTTGGTATGATGGATACTAATTCTAAAAAAAGAATTCAGAGATCTATCTCATGGAAGCTCAGGTCTTGTCAGGGTAGAGTGCTTTACTGTTCAGAGATGGGCCAGATTTTGTTCATTGCTTCCCAGTTGCTTTGGTAGAGACTAAAGAAACAACATTTACTCAACAAATATGTTGAACTCCTTAGTGCTAGGAAATATGAATACCACACAACAGATATGGTCCCTGCTCTCAAGGTGCCTGCAGTCTACCAGAGAAGACACTAAAATAAATAATTCCAACAAAGTATGATGAGGGTTATGACAGGGAAGTCCAAAGGCCACCATTTAGAAAGTAGCCACCCCACCAACTTAGATTGTTGGGGCCTTGGAGATTGTGGAATTTAACATAGGGTATGAGAAATGCTCTGAAGGTTTTTAAAAGCAAGATGATAACTAGATCACATTTGTGATTTGGAAAATCAGTCTGGCCCTGTTGTGAAAGGAGAATTGAGGAGGGACTATTGAGAACAAGAAGACTGATTAGCAGACTGTTGCTGTCATCTAGATAAGAGATGATGATGGCTTTGTCTAGGGAAGTGAATATAGAGAGAAAAAAAGTACAAGAGGACTAATAAGAGAAACATAAAGAAGTGGGCCATTTGATATATTATAGGTGTATTGCATAGCATCCGTGCCACTTAAATGAAAAATACCTTCAAGGATTCTGAAAGTCTTCTAATCATACCTGGTGCTAGCTGCGAGGAGGGCTTCTTCATAGGCCTTAGCAGGAGATTGAAGATAAAGTGGCCCCTTGTCATTTAAAGGGCATTATTTCTTTTGAAAAGCTTTGTTATCCCTTCTCTAAACTTTAAAATTACATTATTTTGACTCTAGCAAATGCCTGGTGTGAGTCCTTCCAGAAGGGATTATTACTGTCAGATGGGCTCTCTGAATTATTGATAAGTTTTGGGGTTTGTGGAATTAATCAGCCTCAGCAGTGGGTAAGGATAGGCACATTACTTTAAGAAAGTCAACAAGTCATTCTTAAAGGAGGAGGCTTCCTCATGCTGGCTAATGGGGGTGTGATTATCCTGGAAGCAAATGGCTGGATGAAAGCAAACCTTGTTCCACCCACAAGTACTCAAAGTCCATCTGAAACTTATAGGATAATGCAGATCTTCGGGGTATCACTTGGTTCATTTGGAGAAATTGACTGTGGATTTTCACATTTGTGATTCTCTGTGATTTCACATCTAGAGCTAACCCTCCCTGAAAACACCTGCTCCACATCTTCCAAACTGGCACCTCAATGATTCATTGACCTAATCCCTCTAAAGATCTGGTGATGATCTTTTCAGGCAGCCTCAGAGCAGGACGGATTATGTGCCCAAGATGCCATGTGCCCACAGGAGTTCACTAGAGCAGGGCTTCCCAGAGAGGGCTCCATGGAATGGAATATTACACAGGTTAGTAGTGGGGTGGGGGAAAAGAGTTCTGAGGTCAAACTGTAAAATGCTGTAGTAATCAAATAAGCAGCTTTCTTTATTCTAAGGCTTCTTGGAGTCTTTAATATATTGATACTCAGTGTGACTATAAAAGTATAGGATGCAGTGTTTCCCAAACTTATTTGACTGCAGAAGCTTGTTGTTGAGGACCTCATAGAACTACTGTTTCACAAGGTTCACTTTGAGAAGTGTGGTTTGTGATTATAAGACCTATTTTCAACCCTTCCTAGAACAAAGTATGGTATAAATAAAAAGAATATACAATTTTTTAGGGCAGATGATACATCTTGTCTCTGTGCACCCCAAAACTAACACAGAGTCCAGCATCCACCAGGTACTGAATAAAGTTTGTTGAATTTAAGAACAGAATCAACTAACTTGAAGTTGTTTCGACCTACTCTATTGGGTTGGTTATGCCAGAAGGGCCTAACAGATCATCTCATCCAAATCCTTATTTTATAAATGGGGAAATTGAGGCCCAAAGAGAGAAAGTAACTTTCCCAACTCCCCTTATATCAGTCAGGACAGAACCCAGGTTCCTTGTCTCATTCGTTAATTCATTTTAGCAAATACATATTGAGTGTCTGCTACGTGCAGGCACTCGTACATTCTAACGGAAGAAGTAAGACAATGAAACTAATTGCAGAATTGATCATTTAAGTATCCTTAGGACAGCTGCTATTGAGAAAAGTACAGTATGCTAGGAAAGCATGAATGGTGGCCTGTATTGGGACTCACGGCCCTGAACCCATCATGCCACCTCCCACCACACTGCATGTTCATGGCACCATGAGACAAGCCCAGTGCTTGTCTTGGCTGTCTTTGGGAAGAAACTATTTGTGAGAACTATAGCTTTTGACTTAAATATTATATAAGTTGGACTGGCAAAGGGTTATTTTCTTGTTTATGAATTTATTAGTGAAATTATACAAACTTAAAACAAGTAAATCCAATAGTAATAACACCTCTCATTTATTGAATGCCTACTTATGTTACCCACTGTGATAAATAATTGGTATATCTTATCTCATTTAATATTCTCAAATACTCTGGATCAGGTATTATCTCCATTTTACAGATGAGAAAACTGAAGCTTAGAGTTAAATAATTTGCCAATTTTAACACAGATAGTAAGTAAAATGATGCTGCTAGGATTTGAACTGAGGTTTGTCCAACTCCAACATCCTCACTCTATTATAACACATGGCTTTTATTAAAAATTTAGGATTAAATGGTGTGAAATTGGATCTGCTCTAGAAAATCTATATCTGAACATTTTTAACAAAAAGTTACTTATTTTAGAAATCTTTGTAAACTGCCTAGCACAATGGCCAGCCCTAGTAGATCCTTAGTATGTGGCAGCTTACTAAAAACCAGAGGTTGGCAAATTACACCCCAAAGACCAAATCGGGCCCATCACCTATTTTTGTAAATCAGGTTAGTTGGAGCACAGCCATGCTTATTCATTTAAAATTATGTATGGCTGCTTTCAAGCTATAATGGCAAAGTTGAGTAATTGCAAGAGACCATATGGCTCACAAGCCTAAACTATTTATTCTCTGGGTCTTTACAGAACAAGTTTGCTGACTCTGATCTAGATAACTGCCTCAGTTTCCTATTTTGCCTTTCTGTGAGCCCCACCTGAGGTTATGGGTACAGCATATGATATTATATGCCCTCTGCCCCAAATAGAGAGAAGGTAAAGGTGAGTAGAAGATTCAGATACTGTGTTTGAGCTGTATGCCAGGCTTTGTGCATCATGCATACCTTATCTTATTTAACCTTCCCAACAACCCCATTTTATAAGTAAAGAGACTGAGGCTCAAAGAAATAACGTGCCTAAGTCATACAGCCACTGAGTGGTACAGCCAAACTTTGATATGCCTCTCAAGCTTGTGCTCTTACACAAGAGATACTCTTTGCATCTTATAAGAGGGTGTATCTTACAGCAAAAGGAAGCAGTCAGCTATCATTCTTAAAGATCGGACCCTACTTCCTCCATGACTAATTCCAAATACAAACTTAATTGAAAACAAGTCCCAGCTGGACGGACAAAAGTTGACACGAGACAAATTGAAGAAAACAGAAAGCTGTGATTGCTTAGATCACTAGAGGTGGCTGATGTTGGCAACCAGGTCAGATTGCCTGGACAGCTACCTGTGTGTCATAGCTCTGCTCCTGAGGCTCACTTTTACAACTTCTTTCTCAGTCACTTTTTGGAGTGGCAGTCCTGGTAGCCTCCCATTTTTCCCAGCAGGCTCCTGCTGTACAGAAACCCATAGTCTACATATACTTCTAACTTTCAAGGAATCCCTCCGAGGCTGGAATATACAACTGATACATGTTTCTTCCCTTGAATGGAAAACACAGTGGCCAAATTGATTGGTTGGTTTGTTGAACATCTCAAGTGGACATAAACGTGTTCTTTTCTTTTACTTTTGAATAACAGTCAGCTGTCAAAAGTCCGTGAAACACTCGGGTTTTAGATTCTGATTGATCAGCCATTTAGTGAGTGGCTTCTTGGACCAGGTCTTGGACTGGACAACCACTTTCACATTTGTTGGCCCATTTAAGAATAATGAGTCAATTTCCCATTACTTCATGGCAGAAAATTCAGTTTCTAGCCATATTTGGAGCACTTTGCTGCTCATAATGATAAAACAAATTATGCTTTATAGCTGACACAGTGCTTTCACATCCATACCTCTCCCAAGGCTGAGCAGGAGCAGAGAGGAGATGGAAGGTATGCCAGTGACAGGTGGTTTTTGATAGCCCCTTGGAGAAAGGGGTTGGCAGGATTGTTAATGTAAGGACTTGAGTGAAAACCAAGTAGCTCAATAGAAGCTGAAGTGAACCCTGTAACTTAACATATTCTCAAACATAGATTTCTGAGCCACAAACTCAGGGAGGTTTAATGATGTGGCAATCAAAAAGCCTGCAAATCTACTTTAATAGCATTTTTTAAAAACTCTCCCACTTTATAATATGGTCCAAGGAAAACCACCACAAAATATTGCCTGACCCTTCTTGATCAAATCATCTACAGCCGTCTCAGATGGCCACACCTGTGTTAAGTTCCCACCGTATTTTGTACGTCTTCTTTAGGGCATTTAGCAGTGAATTTTTTTGCCTACATAAATTTGTCTCCTTTGATAGGCTTCATGCTCCTCATGAATAAGAATACGTCTTACTCATTTCTGTACCTCCAGTGCTAGCCCAGAGAAGGTGCTTCATAAATGACAGACAGGCAGATAGGTGTGCATATGAGCGTAATGAGAGCAGAGCAGCCTGGCTGTACCTACGTTGCACTCACAGGCAGCCCTAGTTAGTCTTTCCCAATGGTGATCGCAGCTCCTCTGCCTGCAGAGCCCTTTTCTAAGTGTAGCTATAGACAAGATGGTAAGAAAAAGCCCCAAGCCCTCTTCCTCAAAGGAAAGACAGTTGTTTAGGAGAAAATAGGACAAAATAAATGAAAAGCCTATGGTCCAATGAAATTGACCTACTATAAGAGTTGGAAAAAGTAACACCCTTTAGAATGATACCCAGAAGTGCTGAGGGAAGGGAAGAATAGACAGAAAGATGTTTCCTTTGTGCTGAACAGCCGCCAAAGATCAGAGGAACACACGAGAATGAACCAGAAGCAAGGATCAGGCAGAAAGCTTCATTGGTTAGATTCTGACAGGCCGACCTCTACTGACTCCAGCTCCAGAATCCCTGTCCCTTTTGAAAGAGGGGCTTTTAGATGCAGAAGGTGTGGGTTTCAGACCTATCCCTGCCACTTCTGACTGTGCGACCTTGGCAAGTCCTTTCACCTCTCTGAGCCTCAGTTGCCTTCTCTGTCAAGTGGCAATTCCCAATGATACCTGCCTCCCTGGGCTGCTGTGAGCATTCGTGTGCTGATGGATATGAAGGCATTTTGCAAGTTGGCAGGTAGTGTGTGTGTGTGTGTGTGTGTGTGTTAGAGACAGCAGTTGGCTCTGGGTGATCAGACCTCGACTCTCTACTTTCTCTTACAGAGGGTTGCCCTGGGTTGTGCAATGGCAATGGCAGATGTACCTTAGACCTGAATGGTTGGCACTGCGTCTGCCAGCTGGGCTGGAGAGGAGCCGGCTGTGACACTTCCATGGAGACCGCCTGCGGTGACAGCAAAGACAACGATGGAGGTAGGGCTCTGGCACCCGTGGGCCCCAGGCAGCTCCAGAGGGCAGGAGGCCCAGAGTGGAGAATAGGTATTACTGAGCTAACAGGCCACCAACACACCAGTTGTCCAGTCAGGGGGACCTGCGGCGCAGGCAAAAAACTGCACATGTGGCTTAGGGATGAGTGCGTATCACAGGTGTTCCCTTTGAATCCATTAAAATTAATGTAAATGAAAGCAATTGTTATGCAGCAGTCAGTATAAAGGAGAAGGCATACGGAAGGAAGAAAGAGGTTTCTAACAATTCAACAGTAGAATGAGATGTCTGGCAAAGTTGTGGGCCCCCCTCACTGGAGGTGGATAAACAGAGAACATCTAATTCTTTTATCACAGAAGCTGCAGAGGGACGCTTCTCCAAGGGATTGAGGTTGAGTTACCTTTGGTCAAGGTCTCTTCTCCTCTAATTCGGGAGGGTACCCTCACTTACTCTAGCAGATACCTTTTGTAATAGAAGTGACTTTTGCTTTCGGTATTTAAAAAGTGCTAGACAGTCAAAGCCCAAGGAACGAGGTGCTCATCTTAAAGAACATTCATTAGCTAGGAGTGAAGACCTGAATTCCAGCTCTGGCTTTGACTTCCTGTGCCACATGCTACTCGGTGGCTCTGGGCTTCACTCTCCCCATGTATAAAATGAGGCAGCTGGCTCATGAGTACCATTTCAGTCTTTATCTTAGTCATAGAATTAACCTTCATTTTTCTGCTGCATTAACTTGGATAAATAAAACCAAATGTGTTCTACTTTCCCACTTGGAAGATATATCAATCATTCCTGATTCTTCCACTTGCAGGTGGTTAATTAGGAGAATAGAAAGATAAAGACATGAATAAAAAATCAAAACACTCAACCCTTTCTTCCTAATAATGGCCTACCAGTTGGCTTAGTCCATCCAGACAAGTCTGTATGGCTCCCTTATATTTATACCAAAGGACTTTCTAATACGTTGCACAGGGTAGAAAATCAATAGGTCAGAAACTCAGCATCCTAACCTTTGGGAATCTTCTACTTAGAGGAATTCTCAAACCCCAAAGCATCATAAGAATTAAAAGGCCAAGTGTGTGATACTGTGATTTCTGCAGTTTGTTTGCCTTGAGTGAGTTTCAGTGGCCTAGAAAGGGCTCTTTCAGAGCATTGGTCTTTGAGCCAGCCAGCTTTCAGCCCTTCTGCCTGCTGCCTAAATCCAGGAGGTAATTTGGCCTGATGCACCCAGTCCTGGGCCCAGTGGAGCCATTGTCAACAAGGAGCTTGTGGCGTTGGCCACAGTAGCTAGGCAGAAACAGAAGGTCTGTGTTCTCCTGTGATCTTGCCGGGTTGAAATATCCCTTAATCAATCTGAAATTTGTGGAGTTCATTAATTTTCATGCTCCTTAAATATCCAGAGTTCTTATTTTAGAATTGGGCCCTATGCCAGGCATAGAGATAAGGAAGTCCCGTCCCTGTACACCAGCAACTCAAATGAGGGAGAAAGACCCAAAGTTAAGTGCTAATAAACTGTGATAAGTGCTGTTGTAGAGTTATATATTGGTTGTTGTGGGAGTAGGAAAACATTCATCAAGAAGGTGATACTTGGATGGGTAGTGGTTCCCTGGAAAGGAAAGGGCTTTCTATTTAGAGATAGCATCATGGGCTAAGGCAGGACAAAGCAGGGAAGGGCACGAAGCACCCCTGTCTTCAGGCAAGGTAAAATGCATTTATAGTTGCTCTTCATAGGAAAGAGATGTCAGCCTACATTATCTGCATGATTTCCTCAGCATTCACCTTTACTTTGCCTGTGTAGGCACAGCTGCAATGACTAATAATAACATTCATGTAATAGAAGGAAAGGGGAGGAAAGGAGCCACCATTCCCTTCTCATGAGTCAAAAGTCTTGGCCAAAGCCTCCAAACAGCTGTTGAACATCTGGGCAGCAAAATAACTGTATGTCTTTAGGAAATATGCGGAAAGGGCACACCGTTCTCCCTCCCAGTATGCATACAAGTATAGATTTAGAACAAGGCTCATTGATTATCTCCCATGAAATACAATTCAAGTGTACCCTCTGTTTGCCATTCTTCAGAGCCAGCCCTCCTAGCACTAGAACTCACCAGTGTTAACATGGGGCATGGGCATACCATAGCTGAAATCCCACAGCTCTGGGGGAAGAGAGAAGTTCTTGTCATAGGAAATGGGGCTGATCCAGACCCCAGGGGAATAGAGCCTCCTCCCGCTGTTCTGAGGGATGAGCCAACAGAAGATGGAAAAGATCAATCAGAAAATTCCCAAATGTGGGAGAATATGCCACTAGCATTTTTGGAGCATGTTATGGGCTGAAGTGAGCTTGCACATACTTTATTCACTCACTCAACAAACGTTAACCAAGTGCCTACACTGAATCAGGCACTGTCCTGGGTACTAGGGCATCAGAGATAAATAAGATGCAGTCCCTACCCTTGTAAAGATCACAACATAGAGGCAGAGAGAAACAGCATGTAATGGCAATGCAGTGGGATAATTGCCGGGATAAAGGAGCATCCACTTATTCAACTGATACCAGATGCCTGGGTGCCCTACTGGGAACTGTGATGTGGTTTCTGTCCCATGAAACTTTCAGTCCAGCCAGGAAGATATCCCATGGGTCATCATGGTCGGAAATAAAACCAGCTGGGAAGGCCAGATTGTTGAGGGTCCTTTACCTTGGGTTCTCAACTGTGAAATGAGGAAACGTCTTACCTCAGGGCCTTCTCAGTTCAGTGGGCTGTCCACCTATTGCGGCAGCCAAGGGGAAGATATGTAAGACCTCTGCTTTGCAGGGTGGCATAGATAAAACAATCATAGAGGGTAGTATGTCCCCAAGTGGCCTCTTTATCGTTCTGTGCCTTGGCCAAATGGGGACAGTTTTAGTGGAGGGAGAGGAAGAAAGGACACATGAATAAGCCATATTTGCTGTGGGCTGCTTTCAGTTCAGTCAAGCACACCTTTTTCAGGCGACTGCTATCTATAAGGCACCGTGCTCCTTTCCAAGGAGACATAAAGACCAAGGAACATAGCCGAATCTGTCTCCTGCAAGAAGCTCACAGTCATTTATAAGAAACTGTCATCCAAATGACTCAATCTGATGGAAGCAGAATTAAATAAGTGCCTTTATTTCAGCCATGACAGGGTATACGCATAATCCCAAATAAATCATTCAGGCCGGAGGGAAATCGTGTTACAGTCTCACTGAGTGGTTGTTCTTAGGTGATGCGAGTCAAGGCTTGGGGAAGGCATTAACAGAGTTTAATGTTGAGTAACAGGACTGAAAGGGACATCAGAGAACATTGACTTTAACTCCTGCTCCTGCCTGTTTACAGACAGGACAACTGGAGCCCAGAGAGGAGAGGTGACATCACACATGTCATAGTCACAAAGAAAGTCACTACATGGCCTAGACTTCAGCCATGCCACATGGCCTTGTGAACCTAGAGCACTTCTACTCAACCACACGGTTAGGAATGTGGCATTATTATCCCCTTATGATTCCTTTATGACAAAGAAAAGCTTAGCGAGTATTTTGCAGAGGTCACACAGCTGGCCAGTGGCAGAAACCACCAGAGTATATGAGGTCTGGTGACATTAGAGCTTCTCACTGTGTCTGGATCTCAGACATATGGCCCATTGTAGACCCCTGTGGCCCTTCAAGTTATCCAAGAACTCCTGGTTACTCTTCTTTCACAATTTGCTTGGCTTAAAACAACACATTTTAAATGAAACATGAAATCAAGTTTCATTAAGAGTGCTACAGCAGTGTTTTTAAACTAAGACAAAAAGAAAAAAAGCTACACTTTGGGAGGCTGAGGCGGGTGGATTACTTGAGGCCAGGAGTTCGAGATCAGTCTGGCCAACATGGTGAAACCCTGTCTCTACTAAAAATGCAAAAAATTAGCTGGGTGTGGTGGTGTGCACCTGTAATCCCAGCTACTTAGGAGGCTGAGGCATGAGAATCACTTGAACCCAGGAGGCGAAGGTTGCATTGAGCTGAGATTGTGCTTGTGCACTCTAGCCAGGGCAACAGAGGAGGACTCTGTCTCAAAAAAACAAACAAAAAAATAGCTAAACAATATGACTGAGTCAGGAGTAGCTTTATTGGTTTGTTTTTGTTTTCATTTATGGCTGATGGCTAGATTTAAAAATGGAAAACAGATCCTTCATGTGACTTGATGACTGCCAGTCTCCTAATGCTGTTACCTTGGGCACTGTCTCCTGAGAGGGACCAACAGGCAGGCAAGCAGAGGGGCCCTAACTCACCCACTCAAAGTGAAGCCTCTGTGTGTCACACTTGACAAAAAAGGTGTGCCCCATTTGTACTGTGTGCTTTGTGAAGCCTCTTATGAAGCACAGACACATGCATCTTCTCATTTTATCCTCTCATGGGGATGTTTATTCATGCCCATTTCAAAGATGGTGACACCATGTCCCAAAGATGCTAAGTCACTGTAAAATGAGGATAATAATGCCCACCTAGCAGGGTTGCTTTGAGGATCACAGGTTATATATTGAAAGTACCCAAGAGGCAACATAGCACAGTGATTCAAAGTACAGGATCTGTACCCAGATTGCCTCAGCTCCTGGCTCCCTGATTTGCTGACTGCGTGATCTTGAGTGAGTTACTCAACTTCTGTAAGACTTAGTTTATCAACTACAGATATCAGTTGTGTTTCTCCTGCTCCTTTCCACCTGCAATCACAGAAGCACGATATTTATTATAAAATATATATTTATAAATAAATATTTTTAGAAATTGGAATTACATCCTCTATGACATTTTACATTCTGTTTTTTTCACTTAAGATTATGGTATATTTCTCTATATAATATGTTTTGATCTTTTTTATTTTTATTTTTTTGTTAAAGTCTGTATTCCAAACTGTTACACGCTCACTGCTAGGAAAGAATCCAAATGTACATAAAGGAAAACAATAGCCATCATTGAGCACATTCCTGAGTGCCAG